ACGACAATACCACAACTTTCCACGTGGTTTGTTTAACCAGTGGGATCGATTTATAAGCCTATTGCCCTCGTGCGGTGTACTCGATTTCCTTCCTGTTTCAATTGAATGGTGATACGTATCTGATTAAACTTGAACACATATCCACACGACACTGAGATAAAAACCAAACTTATCAAATAGCTAGGTTTCTTTTTCGATATACCAGTACAGAACATAAGAAACCTCTCGTGGTCCAGGTTCAGTTATCGGGTCAAAACGTGTTCCGTAATTAATTTTTTTTCAGCATATGTATGTATTTTCTCAGATGGTTTTCATATTTGCTTTTTTTAATCAAGATGATACGAAAAACAGAAAAATGCTTAAGTTCACATTTTAATTTGAAAGGAAATGCAATCTAGCAATCGATTTTATAATATTTGATTTATTACATTTTTTATTTTGTTTTATTTGTAGATTAAATAGCTTTATTATATGGCATCAATGTTTCGCGCGCTCTGATTGGCTGCTTAGCGGGCAAGATTTTCTTGTAATGACCGGTCATTACGGAAATTGTTCTCGGCTTCATTCACGGCTCTTTTCAGTTGCGATCAAAAGCTACGAAACCAAACATTAAATCAACCGAAACCATAAACAAAATACATTTATCTTTTCAAGAACTGAAAAAAATTATTGTATAGCTTAGAGATACTTCTCAGTGTACAATGAGCGACGAAGAGAGCCACAGCGAAAGCGAATTTTACTATCCAGAGGAAGAAGAGGCAAAAAGTGAGCAAAACAACATGGCTGAAGTAACCAATACCAGCACCATCAGCGACAAATGTCGTACATTTTGAGTTCTTCAAGTCACTCGCAAAATTCCAAACAGATAACTGCTCCTCCAGACAATAGCAGTGGCCATTTAATAACAAGTTCACAGCAGTCACACAGCAGCCTGAGTCTCCAAAACACGACGAATTCGCTCGCTGTGAATAATTCAAGCGACCCAGCAGCTTTAAATGGTGTTTTTCCTGGAGCAAATATCAGTAGTATCTCTCAATGTCAGTTCCAGATCTTCAATGGCCCAGTTAAGTTAATCCAACAAGGTGCAAAGCGACGTTGAGAACGACGACGAAGAATAACACTTCACTGAAATCACTGCAAGTTCTCCCCACGTGTTCAAAATTCATTTACAATTTGGGTCTATTTTTCTTCTAATTTTTTGAGTTTCTAAGAGTTCAAACACTTGTAAACACAGGTATCTGTGTTTTGTAAAATTAAAGTGTTCGCACTTTCCTAGATCTTGCCATAATAAAGACAAAAATGTTCTCGCTTTGAACAAAACCGTCTCTGTGAATTTCAATAAATTCGCCAGGATCGCTAGGCTCAGTGAACACGACCTCAACTTTGACCTTGCGTGCGCAAGCGGATGTTGAAAATTACTTCCGGTGTCCATAGTTAGGTATATTATTTATTAGAAATACAGCACTAAAAAAGGCCATATAATAAATAACTTATTAACCTCGTCCGTTCGGTCATTACAGGAAAATCTCAGACCTCGGTCTTTTTTGTACGGACCTCGCTGCGCTCGGTCCGTACTGCCAAGACCTCGGTCTGAGATTTTCCTGTAATGACCTCACTCTCGGTTAATAAGTAGTATACAATTACCGGAAAACGAGCAACAATAAAACTAGCATGATAAACGAGCGAAAAAAGTTGATACTTGTTTTATTATTGTAGTAAGAGTACTCGTAGTTCTTACACGGTTTTAGAAAATGATTTGAAAACAAAAAACAAAAACAAAAACAAAAAATATGCAAAACATTAAGTTTAGTAGTATAAGTATATATCAGCGAAGGGAACTTTTTGAATTCTACAAATTAAACAATTCCAAGAGATGTGTGACAAAGTTTATAGCTATATAACATTGCTAAAATTACCGGCAAACGAGCAACAACGAACTAGAATGACAAACGTGCGAAAAAGTGTAACTGTTTTGTTACTGTATTATGGTAAGAGTATTTTCATTTTGAATTTTATATCTTTCTACAGATAATTTATTTAAATATTGAATGACATATAAAATCACACCAATATTCAACTGTTTATTGAACTTTTCGAGCTAGTATGATTATAAAAATGAGCTTAATTTGTTATTGTTGAGAATATTATGTTATTGTATAAAGACCTTTAAAACTCCTTTACAAATGCCAGTTTACTGACAAAGAACACTGTTATTTTGTATTGCATTTTGCATTATTTTCTATTTTGTCTCAGTTGTTCTTATCAAGTTTAACCGAATCTAAACTTTGTTTTTCGAAA